CTGAATAAAGCTTGAAAAAGCTTTGGAAACTTGCTTTGGAATTAGAAACAAAGTCCAGTGGATTTCTTTTTTTTTTTTTTACTTTCTTGGAATGACAATGACCTGGATGACTGAGAATCTTCACCAGCATAGGATGAAAACTAATTTCGTCATGTTAGCCTTCCTGTCTTACTCTGTAGTTTTCAACTCAGACCACATCATCCACCCAGCATGACCTGCACAGGGAAAATATTGAGACCTCCATGCAAAAAAAAAATTAACAAAGGAAATATCATTTTTGAATAAATTTCTGCAGTTTTTCAGTTAATAAAACATATTTAAGCCATTGTGTTCAACTAGTTCTGGATCCCTTTAAATGAGACACATTAGAAATAGAATAGAAATGTGAACAAATTTTTTTTACACTAGAGTACAGTAGTGGGCGTGCATATTTTTTTACTCTGACTCCACCCTTTCACTGAATAATAAGGTCTGACCAGCAGATAACGCTTCTTTTTAGATCTTAATGTTCACAAATCATGACAGAAACAATATTTTAGTACAAAGATTGATGTTTAAAAAGGAATTGTAGGGGACCAGCCAAGGTCCAGACAATGGCCCATCAAGGAAAGTGGGGAACCTTTGAATGTCAACTACTGTATATCAAGTTAAGGGGGGGATTCTTGTGTCACAAACCACATATGGTATCTACATTACTAAACCCTTTGTTGCGCAGCAACTAAACTCTCAAAATAAAAACACAGATTATTAATTTTCAACCAAATATATTGTGAACAGATTAAAGACATTTTCTTTTTTCATCCTTCAATTTTTCTAAACATGAAACCAAGAGTTCAAGCCAAGAGTTTCCTCTTTATTGTTACCCTGTAAATGATTTGGTAGCCATCATCCCAGCCATAAAGTTGCTTCTCCTCTGGGTTGTATTTCAGACTAGCGTGTGCTCCGTACCTCCTGGGGAAGTAAAGCAGAGGAGCCTCTTCACTGACCATCATGTCATTCACGTCATACACGCACTGAATCCGAGATCGGCTGGCCAGGCGGGTGTTGTAAACGACATACACGGTCCCACAGACTACAAAAGCCGCCTCTGCATTCTCCCGCGGGCAACGGGTGTCCCAGATTTGCTCTATATCGAGCGTGGCGGTGTCCATCTTTGCAAGGCTAATGTTTGGTTCGCTGTCAGTAGGGATAAATAGGAGCCACAAGCCCTCATCATCTACCGCAAGGTCTGCAACAGTCTCAGGATTTAAAGTGTAAAGACTAACATGCTTCCCTATAGGGAACATAGCAGTGTCCGTCACTAAACCACTCATCAGGTCATATTTGATCACCTGCACATCTGTGTCAGTCTCCTGGTTTATGTAATACAAATATCCATTATAAACAGCGCCTCCAGGCCCGGTCCACTCAAAGGGAAGGTGGATTATCCTGCTCTCTGCCACTCCCTGGGATCTGGAAAACTCCTGAACAGATCTGAACTCGTAGACGGTTTCTCCTGATGTACCGTTAAAGATGTAAACCTTGGAGGACTTGGGATCTCTTGTCCACATGCCTTTGGGGCTGCCTATTCTCTTTAGGACCTTCACAGATCTGAAGCTGGAGATCAACTCCTCACACTCTAAGGAAAAACAGAACAAAACAAAAAAGGATAAGCGGATAAGCATTGTGCTTTAAAAAAACAACAACATAGAAATCAACCAAAAAGAGTGTGTGTTTATAACCAGTTCTTTGCCTTTTCAAGTTCATCTTTCTTACATGCCGTGTAAGGAGATTATGAGATGAAAGGAGCCGCTGGCTGCACAGCTGCAGCTCTGCAAAGGTCAGGCAACTCTACCATTAGCTATGCAGACCTTATCATCCTAACAGCATTTTACAGATACAGTGCTATCATAAAACAGGTATTCCAGTCTATGCGACATGCCATTTAAATGGTCCTAACATGTATTTGTTGAACTTACTTTAAAGTGGTTGTATGGAGGGTTTTTTTCCCCACTATTGTTTCAAACAAAGCACACTGTCTGTAAAAATAAATTTAAAAAAGAAATGCAAAGCCGTTTTTAATTTTCTCCCAGTCTGAATATTCAACGTATAACGGGATCAATAGTGTGGAATTCACAGAGCTCCAATTTTGTGACGATTGTTGTTTTATAAGACTAGCTAAAATCCAAAGTCTGATATTTGCAGCCTACACCTATGTGGTAGCATATTGGAATATCCGCCTTTAAAATCTATTACATGTTTTTTTGTGGGTAAATTTTCAATGATGGGGGTTCCCAAAATGTTCCATGCCTCACTCCACCCAACAGCATAAATATTTAGCTAGGGACCAAAACTATTGCAAACTAACAGATAATTATACAAATATAAAAAAAGTTTATACTTTTACAATGTTACCTATTGTTATAGTTGAAAAAAAACCCAGACCCATATAGGAATGTTATTGAAAAAGGAATTTAATTCTCTGTCAGTCATACATATTTAGCTGCAAAGCACAGTTCAAAAATCTCTGTGGTTTTTTACAAGTTATATGTAATGATAATAATGTTTGAAAAATTTGCTATTTGATGATAATGAAAAGTGAGTTTTTTCTACCCTATTTTTGTAGCATATTTTCTATGCCAAATTTATCATATGGAAAAAAAAAGAACCTTCTTTTCTCCAGAATATGTTGGGTTTTTTGGCACTAAAATGAAAGCCACCCCTTAATTTTAAGATGACCTGAGTACAAAGTTTCAATGAAATAAAATTTGTTGAAGGCTCATCCCTGACATCGCTCCCATACCTCTTGTTGAGAGGTTAATGGTTCTTCTGGTGATCCAAAAATTATTTATCCAAAGGGACTAAAGTTCTCCAACATTGAGCTTTGGACATATATTTAGACCTCTCTTATCATCCTCCCCTCTGTGTGCTCTGGCAAGGTAAATTAGAGTCCTCCTCCGGCCTATCGGCCTGATGCTAGAAGAACGGCCCCTTTGTATAAGGTCCTATTTATACCAAGGAAAACAAGATAACCGGTGAGATGTTCTAAGGCACTTTGACAAAGAAAATAAAGTAGAAATTTCAAAACAGGAATGAGCGCACATTGAAAAACCTACAATTGCTCTTATTTCAGATGGATCACTGTAGCTTGCAGGAAATGTGAAAACAATGCTTTGATTAAAAGGTTATTTTTTCTACTGAGCATTACTACTACTGGGCATTACCCACTAAAAAATCAAATTAAAGATCTATTTTTTCACTTTGAACTCTTCACTTTAATTCAATTTTATTTATTTATAATATCCCAATTCACAACACGGCATCTATGAACAGAGAAAATCCAATCAGATTGGATAAAAAGTTTTCTATTTAAGGAAAACCAGCTGATAAGATTGAAGGATACGCTCCTCCTGGATGAACATTTAGATATTGCCTAAATTTTTCATTGACTCTGCAGCAATGCCTCACACCATGCATGCATGCAGCAACAGTGGAGAGGAAAAACTCCCTTTTAAGAGGAAGAAACCTCCAGTAGAACCAGACTCGGTGTGAGCGGCCATCTGCTGAGGCCCACTGGGGTTCAAGGAGACAGAAGCAGAGATACAAGAAGAACAAGGAAGCACTAAACTATGAACACTTTTTAAATTAGAAAATGTGTATGGTTTGAAAATTTTACATCATAAAAAAATTTATGTTTTTTACAAATAATAAAAATAATACCTCATTAACCCTAACTGTAAATGTAAATATAGCTGTAAATCATATTGTAAGGGTTTTGTCAATGAGTTGTTGGCTGTAGATTATGAAGGGTTAAGAGGAATAAAATAAAATTAAT